CATGTAAAATTGAAACAATACAACCTATAGGACTAAATCCCTAAAGAGACCAACATATAGGACCAAAAATACAATTTTCCTTATCTCAAATATAAAATGAGAATTTGATAACTCAATTTTAGTATCTAGCATTGGAGTTGCTCTGATCTTATAGTAATATTTATTAGTTAGGGGTCATTACAAATAAGCCCATCAATGGGTACTTATTCATAAATAGATCCAAACAAAAAACTCCTTTACCAATAAGTCTACACATGGTCTAGATTTTTATAAAAGACTAAAATAGCCCCTCATACTTTAATATACTCCAATTTCATCCTTAACTTAATCTAACCTCAATTTGACCCCAAATTTCACGAATTATTCAATTTTGACCCAAAACTTTTATTTTCAAAAAAATATTTTTGCCGCCGGATTCCGGCGTTGACTTTGAATTTTTTTTTTCTCTTCAGGATTTTTTTCGCCGGTTTCCGGCGTTGACTTTTTCGATTTTTATTTTCTTTCTGTAACATTTTTTTTTGTTTAAACATCAATATTGTTGTGATTGACAGTAATATTAACTATATTACTGTTAAACACAGTAAAATTAACTAAACTACAGTTTAACACAGTAATATTGCTATATTAATCTCTAGCACAGTAATATAGACACAACAAAACTCATTATTATTGTGTAATAGAGTAATATTACTATGTAATCCGTTCAACAAATGTAAACATAATAAAAACCCAAAATAATTAATATTACTGTGAGTGACAGTAATATAACTATAACAACAGTAGTATTACCGTCAACCACAGTAATATTACAATAATAGACAATAATATTATTACGTTACTTCGTGAATAACTCAAACAAACAAAAAAATCCAAACAAAATCATAATATTGATGTGGTTGATAGCAATATTACTATAACAACAGTAACATTACAGTCAACCGCAGTAATATTATTGTGTTTACAATAATATTACAATAATAGACAGTAATATTATTACGTTACTCCGTGAATAACTCAAACAAAACAAAAAACGCAAAAAAATAATAATATTGATGTTGTTGACAGTAATATTATTGTGTTTACAATTATTTTACTGTCAACCACAGTAATATAATTACGATGACTTGTCAACAAATCAAATAAAATAAAAAAAATAACAAAAAATAAAAAATAATAATATTACGTTAATTTACTGTCAACGGTAGAACAATTACATAAATGTATTGTCAACGGCAGTATTAGGTTAATTAACTGTCATTGACAGTATAATTACGTTAATTTACTGTTAGTGAAGTCAACGCTGGAGACTGCCGGTCAAAGCCGGAAACCGGCGAAAAATTCCTGAAGAAAAAAAAAATCAGCGCCGGAGACCGGCGGCAAAAAAACAAAATTTTGAAAAATAGAAATCAAAATCGAATTTTTGTGGTCAAAATTGGATTTTTGTGGACAAAATTGATTAAATTGTGGTTACAATTAAGAATGAGTATAAAAGGATTGGGGGTAATATTGTCATATATATATGAATGTTTCCTTTATTTATAACAAATATTAAAGGGATGGGCTTATTGGTGAAAGAGATATAGCCCATAAACCTAGAATAATAAAGATACTTGTTTGGGGACTTGTGCACAAAAACCCCTATTAGTTATATGATAGCAACATCAATATTTATACAAATGAGGAGAAATAATAATAATAATAATAATAATAATAATAATAATAATAATAATAATAATAATAATAATAATAATAATAATAATAATAATAATAATAATAATAATAATAATAATAATAATAATAATAATAATAATAATAAAACTGACGTCAAAATAAGAGATAAAAATATATATAAACTAAAAAATTATTATTATATTCATTCTTTTATATGTAAAGATATTGTAAAATATGTCATTATGTTTTTTAAGTTGCCCTAATGTTACGGTTTTTTTTTGTTTCATATACAAAGATGTTTGGGAGATGAGAGTTTTATCTAAGGGGCAGGGCCCTGGGCAAGACTTTAAACCGAGGCCCTAAATTCCAATTTTTTCCATTTTTATTGACTACATCTATAAATATATATTGGTTTATTTCATATATATATATATATATAGGTATTAGAATTTTTGTTTTATTTAACAAAAATAATTTAATTTTGAGAAATAAAAAACCCAATATGGAAAAAACAACTAAGTTGTAAACTGTAGAAACAAAAAATAGAGAAATATATAGGAGTGTAAGAAAATTCAAATTAGAATAAAACAATGTAAATAAAAGAGAAGGAAAAGATGACGAAAGGGATTGAATGAAAAAAATAGAAAGATAAATGACAAACTGGGTTAGATCAAAATTTTTAATGTGGTACCCTTTTTAAAAATGATAGTGACACACCGTCTTAGCTACGCAGAACTTTTTTTTTGTTTAGAGATACGCGGGAAGAGTGGCAACTGTTCCCAACAAGTACTTGAAAAACGGAGCTTTTATTAAGACGGACCCCAACGGAACTATGGAGCTTATCGGAGAGTTAATAGACGAGCTTAGGGAATGGACTGTTAACGGGAGTAGTTCACCGAGGAAGGCGGTCGCAGGGTCTAGGAGTGGGCCCCAGACGACGATTTTCGCTTTGCTGCAGTGCACCGCGGAATTGTCGGAGGGGAATTGCAATATTTGCTTGGTCGAGTGTGCTGAATTGGTTCGGGTCAACGCTGGTGGCACCGAAGGGTTCAGATCGAATATGCCCAGCTGTAATATTCGTTATGAGCTCTATCTATTTTACAATATAACGAGGCTTCAAGAACCGCTAGCCTTGTCATCCTTGGCACTGTCGCCACCGTCACCGTCACCGTCACCGTCACTGCCACCACCTGATAAAGGTAATTGTAGACTAACTTGATTAGTCTTCTTACTGGTTTTATGTTTACTACAACGGCGGTTCTGATAATGATAATGCAAATAGGCCCATGACAAGGGACTTAAATGTACAAATGTTCAGATAAAAAACAGTCTCGCAAATAAATCAATTCCCATGTGTCTAAAATATTTTCATAATATAATTTTCATCGATTCCATCTATTATACTCTAACTTCATCACTATTGCACATGACGTCGGATATGAACAAATATATCACATTAACCCATATTTTCATAATTTTTTGAAAAAAACTTATTTTTTTAGAAAATAATTTTCTTTCTTTTTTTTTCCGCCCGGTCTACCGCCAGTCTCCGGCGTTGACTTTTTTATTTATTTATTTTTTAAACTTCCTTTTTCTCTCTAAATTACAGTGTTAACAACAAAACTATTGTCTGAGACAGTAATATTTCAAGCCAAGACAATAATATTAATTCAAATATCTTTTTCAAGAAAAAAAAGTTTTCAGAAGAAAAAAAAAGTCAATGACGGTTGATTTGCTGGAAAAAAATATTTCAGAAAAAAAAAAAAGTAAAAATAAATAAATAAAGTCAACGTCGGAGACCGGCGGTCAACGGTGGTAGACCTGTCGGAAAAATAATTCAGAAAAAAATGTCAACGACGGCTGACCGGCGGTCTCCGACAGTGGCGGTCAAAATTGGGGTCGAAATTGGAATAATGGTCAAAATTGGACGAAATATAATTGGGGTGTAAAACATGAAATTTGAGTAGAATTCGAGTTTCAAGGAGCGGGGGTAATTTTGATATACGTAAAAAGATTTTGCTTATTTGCAAATAAGTTTAAATGAGCTACATTTATTTGCGAGACAAAAAAATTAAATGTGTCTTTCTTAATTATGTGTTCTTGTTATGAGCCTATTTGTCATTTACCCAAAGATAATAACACTATAAATCTCAAGATTGATGAACATCTATAAAATAGGAGTGTTCTTATCTGAAAGGAAATTAGAGTAGAAGTGTATAGATATTTGCCCTTCATAATAAGGATTAGGTTGTAAAACAAAGATTTAATATCATTAATTAATTTTAATAGGAAATACATTTTTTGTAAATAATATTTTTTTAGAGGGGCCAATGCAATTTGAAAAGAAAAAAATTATTTTTCACATAATATAAGTATTTGATGAAAATTATATTGTTCATATTGTCATAGCTAAATTATGTTTTCGATAATGTCATAATAAATATGTTACGAATTGTATTTTTTTTCTTTCATACAATGCATTAGATGGGACACCTAAAAAACATTTTGGTGTCATACCAACAACTTCACATAAGTACTTTCATTTATACGATCTTGTCTTGAAGTTTCAGGTAATGGTATCGTAGCTTGGAACGTTATCGTCATTATCGTTTCAAGTGTCGTTACGTGTCTACTATTAGCCGTTTTTTTTGGTATCTTCCTGAGGAAGAGAATGAAGATAAGGAGAAATCCCCCTAGTAAGTTATGTTTGGTATAATATGTTGTGATATATGTGCATGTACTTTTCAATTGTCGTTTTTTAATTATCAACTCTTATTTTACGTAGTCTTTATATGGGATTGACGTGATCATAATATCCTTTTGTAGTTATCCATGAAGCGGTTGAGGATGATTTCAGCACAGTTGAATCCATACAACATGATTTCAGCAAAATTAGAGCTGCAACAAATGATTTTTCCGATGATAACAAACTTGGCCAAGGTGGATTTGGAGCGGTCTATAGGGTAGTATAGTACTTTATTAGTATTTATCTATCCATCGAGTTTCTTTTAGACACAATCCGATTCTTTTTCTTATTACGTTCATTTATTTTATCATTGATGTCATTCAAAAATTCATGAATGTTATCGGGGAAAACTTGTGAATGGACGAGAAATAGCAGTAAAAAGATTATCAAGAGGTTCATGTCAAGGTGATATTGAATTCAAGAATGAAGTGTTGTTAGTGGCCAAACTCCAGCACCGGAATTTGGTTAGGCTTTTGGGTTTCTCCATTGAAGGAATCGCGCGACTCCTTGTGTACGAATTTGTCCCCAACGGGAGCCTAGACCACTTTATATTTGGTGATCGTTATTTTTCCAATGCTTTTGCTTATAGCTAGTGTATAAGTGAAAGATAATTGTGTTAAATTATGTTCGTTTCGTTTTGTCGTGTAGATCAAATAAAATCTTCGAATTTGGATTGGGAAACACGTTACAAGATAATTTGTGGCATAGCTAAAGGCGTTCTATATTTGCATGAAGATTCCAGGCTCATGATTATTCATCGAGATCTCAAGGCAAGCAATGTCCTTCTTGATGAAAATATGAATCCTAAAATCGCAGATTTTGGTATGGCGAAATTAGTCATGCGCGATGAAACTCACGAAAGAGCTAGCAGGATTGTTGGAACCTAGTGAAGTGTTTTATCTTCAATCTTCGTTTTCTTTGAGGAACATAGTGATTCACATGCACACACACTTTAATTTCTCACATACATTGTGTCGTATGACAGCGGATATATGGCACCAGAATACACAATTCGTGGACAGTTCTCTATCAAGTCAGATGTATACAGTTTCGGTGTCCTAGTCTTAGAAATCGTAAGTGGTCAGAAGAAGGTGTTTGTGCAAAATGGGGAGGTCTTAGGAAACCTACTAAGCTATGTTAGTATAAATATAATGTCAATGAAATGTATTAAATAACATTGTCTACATATACGACATAAAGAAAGTTGAATCTAATAAAGACAAATCAAAAATTTCGACAGGCTTGGAGAAGTCGTCGCGATGGAACAACGGAAGATATGATAGATCCGATTCTGAGGGAAACTTATGGTTCCCAGCCAGACATGATGAAATGTATTCATATTGCTTTGCTATGTGTTCAAGAAAATGGAGTTGAAAGACCAACAATGGCTTCAGTTGTGTTAATGCTTAATAGTTCCTCTATAGCACTGCCAATGCCTTTAAAGCCAGGATTTTATTTTTCAGGGAATGAAATCCGTGACGAAACCGATTCCCCCTCGAGGAGGCAATTAGCTCAATGTGGTAACGTATCTAACAATGATTGCTCGATCACCAATTTGTATCCGCGGTAGTCTATGGAATATAGTTATTCATCAACATAAGATCGCCGATTTGTTTTTTATTTCCTACTTTTTAAGCTATATTTGAGGATCTAATCACACTCTCCCTGTGTTGTTTGTGTGCATACTATTACAAATACTAGAAATGTGCACGTACGTTCCAGATTTTGAATTTATATTATTTATAAGTTTTTAGTGTTATTTTTTTGTAATGTAGTTCCATAGTTTTTATCGAAATAATAATTGAAGCATTCTTTTTTTTTTTCATAATAATATTTTTATAAAATGAAAAATAATTGTTTTTTACTTGACTTATTTGCATAAAAGTTATTTTTTGGCATATTTTTTTTATCCTAATAACGTAGCTATGCTACTTGGATTACACTGACTAGTAAAAATGCACGTGCATTACACTGGGCCGTATTTCAAAACGGAAGAAATTTAAATACACGACGATAACAAATCTATAAGTTGATATTAAAAAATTCGTTGTAATATTCAAATTGCAATAATGTTACCTAATTTCGCTTGTGCCATAAAGAAACAAAGCACAAACTAAAATTATCCAAGAGATCGATAATGTTACATAGCCTTACCAATAGGGTAAAAGGTCTAGGGTTCGAGTCCCCCCTCCCCTACTTCCCCTTGTAATGACTTGAATTACTCAAAGAAAAAAAAATATAATAATAACTTGTCAGTATCAACACATATATATTTCATATAAGATACTTAATCGTAACTAAACAACAAAAACATTATGAATGATTTAAAGAATAAAGAGAATAGATTAGTTAAAATGAAGCATCACAATAGGAGAATATATAATAAGAATAATAAGATAATTACATGCTACAATAATAAGGCAACTAAAATATTTTTCCTCCACTAAGTTGTTATTATAAGAATATAAGACGATAACAAACATTATATATCTACCACCAATCTTGTAATTTACTCGAATATTAGTACTGCAAATCAGACCAAACGAGTAATCATTGAATTTAGTAAATTATATAACAAACTCAATTTTTCGTTTCAAATATCCCATAAATCTACACATAATAGTAATTAAAAACCAAAAACAAAAGTGAGGATTTTAAAATTGTTTCAGGGGGTGATAAAAACCTAAACAATCAAAGCTCATTTATAACTTAAATGATGATCTCAAAGTATTTTTCAACAATTATTGAAGTTGAAGGGTAATCGATTATGTATAAAAACGCAATGAATAAAATAAGAACGATATAACTTCGACAGGTTAAAAGCCTAAAAAGTCAAAGCTATTTTAGAACTCAAATGATGTTCCCAAAATATTTTTCAACAATGATTGAAGGATGAAGGGTAATCGATGATGTATAAAAACACATTAATGAATAAAATTAAGAACGATACAACTTCGAAAGGTTTGGCTAGTAGGTTGATGTATTTCGTTAACTTTTGTCCGTTAACACATCCACAATCTCTGTACGAATATGCACATTTTCTACTTTGTTCCAAGTGACAACCTGTAGCGTAAAAAATGATGATATGTCTTAATGACCTCAAGTTTATATATATTATTTAGAGAGGACAAAGATAACAAAATTATTTATTTGCATCTCTCAAGTTGATTAATCTTTATGTACTCCTACAAATGTCTCAATACTTTTGCTTGTGAACTGGCAACTGCTTCAAATATTATCACATGTGGAACAAGATCACCAAAATTAGATCCAGAAAATTAATAAATAATAAAGTGTGGAACAAATGCCTAGAAAAAAAATTGAGTAATGAACACAACAAATGGTGTAAAAATGTCTCAAATAGATTTCATTTGGTCGTTGAAAATCCAAATAATGGCTCAATGGATCAGAAACAGGAGATATGACAAATTCGAATCTTGAAATAGGTTTTGTGCCACGGTTAGTCAAAATAAGGAAAAAAATTGCCGTGTAGTAGCTTTTTGAGCCTAATGTGCATAGAAGGTTCCAAATTTTCTATTTGGTTTGCAATTCTAATCAAATTGGAAAAAAATGAAAAATAATAGAAAAAGAAAACTGTCAATCGAATGGTGGGTGGTATGGAATTTTTTTTGCAATTTAATCAAATTGAAGGGTGGGAAAGAAAAAAAACACAAAACAAACAGGCAAATTTCATCAAATCCATTTCAAAGATTTTCTTTCCGTTGTCTTTGAAAAATTAAATCTTAGAGAATTCATATTGACAACCAAAAATCGAAAATAAGACATAAATGCTAAACTTGAAAAGTTATTTCAACATCAAGTATGGAAATTAAAGTATAAAATAATATGATTTTTCAATAGTAGTACAAAAACTATTTGTATGATCTAACGACGTTATTGCTGGTATTTTGCCAAATAATATTCACGTTCCTGAAGAAATAGATCAAATAATGGGCATAAATAGTAGACCTAGTCTTCAATGTTACGTAAAAAAATACCACGTCTTTCACTTTTAGCCGACAGACTTTTTGTTACGCAAACTCTAATTTTAGTTTTTGTTATGCACAAACTCATATGCGAAATTCGCATACAAAATCACAAATCGCATTGAAAAGAAAAAGAGAGCTACATAACAACAACATAATAAAAGATAACAACTTTATATATTTTACAGAGCAACTTTGGAATTTCCAAACTTCGAACTTGTTTGATTTTCGGTCAAAGATGGCATAATGAAGAATCAATATATCTTAAAAATGTTTGTCATAAATTTGAACACAATATGTAGAGCAAAAAAAGTAATTTGAAAATAAAGAATTGACGATAGCTTAAGGCATATGACATGGAGACATTTTATATACAGAGATAGAGAGACAGGAGAGGCCGAAAAGATAAACAGATGGAGATATTCATCGTCCATTACCACCCAATCGTCCAGAAAGTAACCTCCAACTCGTTCGATATACCGTCAAGGATATGCGAAGCAAAATAATTCAAATGGAATACAATATGCATACAACGAAACTAAATTGGAAGAGAAAAAATCACAACGCCTTTTGATTTTTCACATAATGAGATGAAGAGACCGGTGATGTGGAATTTTAAAGCTTCGTCTATAACATTCTTAAAGAAAACAATTTGGTGATCCTATGACCACTTTAAACCCACAATTTGAAGTGAAAACCTAATCATGAAAGAAAAAATTGCAACTAACTCCACCAAATAAAGATTACTTTATAGCGCACACACAAATAGAATTTAGCTGCACTAGTTCCACTACTTCTGCACTGTTGGAACATCGGCTGCACTTTGACAACTGATCACAAAATTGGCGGATTGAAGCTCAAACTCTATTTGCTCTCTCTTTCCATAAGTAACAAATAGTTGCAATAATATACACAATAATATGAAGATAGACAAGGTGAGGCGCGGACTAGGTCGCTCTCTTAAGACGAATTTCACGATCCCTTCTCTAATGAGGTGCAGAAAGGTTCCAATCATGTCGCCTTTGGGATAGAACAGCAAAACCTATCTCTCCGCTGTAACTTCACCGAAACTGTATGTTCGAGTGAAGCAGAAGATTACACCCGACACACAACAAGAGCTCAAAGTAGACATATATAGTATAAATGAAAAGTATTTCTTTTATCATCTCTTGTACTCTCTTTTCTCATACATTTACAAAGCCACAATGCCCCCTTTATATAGTATATAATATGACTCCCATAAAACCTCAATTTTATATAGAATATATGGTGTTTTATGTAGAAGAATAATGACTTTGAAAGTTTGAAAATAGTGGTCTAATGACCCTCATAAGAGTGGTCATTATTATATTTTATAATAAAATATATTGTTTGCAATCGTAAACTATACATGGTAAAGCATAAAAATGTGGAATTGAATCAAAAAAAAAACTCGATTAAATCTACTAATTAATCTACTAATTAACGAACCATGCATCCATAGAATTAATAACTTAAAAATATGTAACATGAGTAATCGATCAAAATACCTTCTCCTTGGATATTAAAGTGTATTGCTAGAATTTCGGTTGATATTGCTGAAAAATAAGAGCAAGCATTGAAGGTATATCAAGTTTAGAACATTAGCCATTGCCGATTGTAAACTTCATCACAATATGAAATTTAAAAAAAAAATGAACTTCTCAACTACGAATATTGTCTATGGGAAAAATCAAGAAAATCATGATCAAAGAGATCAAAACTCCATACAAAATCTTGAAGTAAAAACTGTCTATGGTAGAAAAGTCTTCTAAGGAAAAAATATAAGAAGAAGGAAAGAAAATTAATAATGGATTCGGCAAGAAAAATGGGAGCAAAAATGTAGGAAGAAAAGGGAATGGCCGTGTGGGGGATGGTAATGGGCGGTTTATCTATGGAAAGTTTGAAAGTGGGGTGTTTTGTTATTGTGGGAAGTTTTTTCCTCGATTTCCGGCGTTGACTTTTTAAATTTTTTTCGTTTTTTTAGAATTAGTTTTCACTTTTAACAATTTTTTTGCCCACGTTTAAACATCAATATTGTTGTGGTTGACAGTCATATTAATATATTATTGTTTAACATAATAATATTATTATACTACAGTTTAACAGAGTAATATTGATATATTACTCTCTATCACAGTAATATTAACATAACAAAAATTACTATTATTGCGTGATAGAGTAATATTAATATGTTGCCCGTTCAATAAACGCAAACACAATAAAAATCAAAAGAAGTAATATTGATGTGCTTGACAGTAATATTACTGTCATCTATAGTAATTTTACTGTAAGAGTAATATTACTGTAACAACAATAATATTACCGCAACCACAATTATATTATTGTGTTTACAATAAAATTACAATAGTTGACAGTAATATTAGTACGTTAATCGGTCAACAAATCAAACAAAACAACAATGGAAAAAAAATATTAATGTGGTTGACAGTAATATTATTGTGCTTACACTAGTTTTACCTTCAACGACATTAATATAATTCGCTGACTTATCAACAAGTCAAACAAAATAAAATACCCAAAAAATAATAATATTGTTGTGGTT